AAAGAAGTCAGCCCATGGTAGAACGGTAGAGCGGGAACTAAATAGTTACTCGTACGGATCCTCCATGCTTTGGCTGAATTGCGAACCCACCGATTATCTTACTCCTCTTCTCCGCAGCCACGATGGAAATTCCACCTTTCGCCCAGCCGTTCCACTCTCTGCTACCGGAAAGACAACACCCGACACAAAGCCTCCCGTTCATAGTCATCCCTGCGTACGCCTCTGCCTTCAACAACATTGTGGTATCATGTTCCTCCACGCTTCAAGGAATCTTTATCTTTCTCTCTCGGTCGTTCGTTTGCTCATCCGTCCATCCGTCCGTTCGTTCTCAACTGCCGACTCCTCGTTAGAAGTGAATTGTAACCTTCGTCTCGTAGACCGAGCGTATGATCTGCATCCAGGAAAAGGAACTTAGCCTGAGCTCGCGCCAAAGCTTGAGTGGAGTCACAACGTACCTTTCGTTTTCGATCGCGGATGTCCGCCCAAGAGGCAGTTAGTCAGACTTGTTCTACATACTCAGAAGGATGGAGATTGCAAGAAGAAAAGTGAGAAGTTCCGATTCAAATTCTAATCAACATGTAGCACACACATCTTCGGACCACAAAGAAAAGGAGAAACGCTATCAGAACATTGAACCCTTGCAACCACCAGCGCCCGCGACCTCCATCAAGAACGCGAGAACAGCAACATCACCGAACAGAAAGCCAAACAAGAAAAGGTGAGTAGAGCGGCCCCCATCAGAGCAGTAGCAGAGCCCGAGCCTACAATCCCAACCACAAGGCAAGTAACCTGCCGGCATCGGTCTTCTCGCCGAGGAAAGCTTCAGCATCCAAGGTTGCACGCAAATCCGAGCCTACAACCCCACCACTCAAGACAAGGAACCGGCCGCAGCCAGTCACCTCATCAGGGGGCAGAATCAGCATCCAAGATTGCAAGCAAGCCCGAGCCTACAATTCCACCACGCAAGGTAAGCGACCAGTCGGAACTGGTCGCCTCGCCAGAGGGTAGAATCAGCGTCCAAGGTTGCAACAAAAGTGAGTCTCATCATCGGGGTACAGGAGAAAAGGAAAAACAAGAGAAAAACAAAAGGAGAACAAACGAAAGACAAAGGAAAAACAAAAGGAAAAGAGCCAGCAACCCACGAACTAGGCAAGCCTCCTCAGATCTGAAGCAAGTATGTTCAGTGGCTGTCTTTCGCAAAGCGAAGAACAGCATTTGAACTTCATATGCTCGACGGCAAAAACTGCATCAGTGCAACCTAGAATTTGCAACGAGAGGCAGTAGAAGCCAATATCATCATTGGGAATGTGTGTAAAAGGAAAAGTAAAAGCCAACAACCCACAAACTAGGCACGCCTCCTCAGATCAAGCAAAGGTGCACCTTTGCAAGTAGGTCAGTACTGTGTCAAAGCAGCCTAGAGTCTGCAGTGAGAGACAGTAAAGCCAACATCATCATTGGGAATGGTCAAGAAAAAGAGTGGTAAGGGCAGAGAAGATAGGGGAAGGCGGAGGTGAGAAGGGGGAACCAGGCAGGCCTCCTCAGATCCAGCAAGGTTGGTGTTACCATTGCAAGAAGGTCAATACTGCATCAAAGCAACCTGGAATTTGCAGTGAGGGGCAGTGAAAACCAAGATCATCATTGGGACTGGTCAAGAAAAAGAGTGTGTGGGTTGAAAGCACTGAAATTCCGCGCTTTCAGAAAGGGTTCCAAAGATTGAAAACATCTCGACTTCTCCATCCACGCTCGATGAGTGAGGACTTCACAGAAGGAAGAGATGAGAAAGGAAAGGGGGCTACAAGGACTGGGAAAAGATGAGTAGCGAGGATGTGAAGCTGGTCGTCTGGTTTTTCAACGAAGACGTCGCCTGCTCCCAGAGCCTCGAGACCCGGTGTGCTCTGCGTCCGTCTAGGGTGGAAGGTAATCGACACTGGTGTTGGCCAGCGAGGGTACATAGCGCCAGCCCACCCGGACGCAGAGTTGAGAGAGGAAGAAGGAAAGGGGAGGAAGGGTAAGGAAGGAATGGAAAGGTTGGAGAAGAGAAGAGAGAGAGAGAGAGAGGAAGGAAGGAAGAAGAAGGAGGGAGGAGGAGGAGGGGGTATTTAGTTTTTCGAAAGAGAGAGAAGTGTGATCTGGGCGGCTGGAATCACACAAGTTAATGGTCAACAAGACCACTAGGCAGCTGATATGAAACACTTGATATCAAAAAGAAGGGTCAAGCAACGATCTGGTTGGCCGGTAAGCGAGCGGCTGCCTGGAGCTTCTAAGTGAATATAACATATTTCACGGATTCAGGTAGAAGAAGGATAAGGATCCAGCGTGATCCGGTGGCCTGATTGGCTGGTATGTTTAATTTGATATCAAAAAGGTGATCCTACGTCGAACGAAGGTCTGGCTGGCTGATAAGCGAGTGGCTGCCTGGAGCAGAATTTGATATAACACATTTCACGGAGTCACGTAGAAGGATCCAAGAACAAACATGACATGAATGATCGGTGGTAGGGGGCCTGGGGGTGTATCTCGGTTGTTGGCAGTAGAATATGGGAAGAGATAGGCCTCGAGCGATGCACAAATGAATCCACGTATACCAAAGAAGTTCTCTGCCGCGAGAAGAAACGTAGTATCTGCAGTGTAGTGCATACTCGAGGTGTCTTCTCTTGTTTCTCCACAAGGGATCTAAGAAGAGCGAGTATCATATGGCTATACACTCGAGAGCAAGTGCAAACAGCGTACCAAATGATATGCAACACCTCTCCGGCCTACAGCCAGGTTTATCTACACAACGAAGCCTCAGGACCTTGACACCATGCCCACATTCAGAAAGGCAAAAATTCATTCTTTTCCTCGTCGTCATTGCAAGCACCGAAAGCTGTCAACCTCTTCTATAGGTGCACTTGTAGGAAAGGAACCTGAGCAACGCACGCCCACCGCGAAGGAAACGAGATACACGCAGCTCTCTATCGAGGACTCTTCATCTACTCTGATGCTAGCTATAATGAATCCAGCACCTGAAAGTTGATAAGAATTTCTAGCTTTGATACGCATCGAGAGAGCTGACTCGTACGTGGCTACAGTGTCAAAACACCTCGCGAGGTCCAGATCGCAAATCTGCCGAAACGAACGAGCCACATTGCGCCGACCGCGAGAACCCATCCAAACAAATGAGAACTAGACTTGATTGAAAAGGGGAAAGCGAAGGTGGGAGGCTACACGCTTCTGCAGACTGATTTCCCCTCGCGATATCCAAATCGCGGATCCACCGATCCAACGAATCGCGCCTCTACACCACCACAAACCAAGCGACCCTTCGTCAACCGCATGAAACAACCTCGTCAAACAGAGACCTCAGTCATGAGCATATTAAGCAAGCAAGTATAGGAGGCTACACAGTCCCAAAAGCTGGTTCCATTGCTGATCCGTCCATGTATACTCCAGAACGAACCTCGAGATAAAGTTGTGGCATCAGGGACCAGCCCCCGATCCGACCCGCCGGACAGGGCAAGCTCATCCGCCAGCCGGCTTGGCTTGCATCAGCCAGCATCCTTCCACCGACCGACCCCCCGTTGCGAATCGCATGCACAGGCGCCCGAATCTCGATTGTATGTAAAGTGCAGTACAAACTCATCTTCATAATTATATGCAGCTAACGAACACACGCTAGAAGAGACAGCATCAATCTGACGACCGCAACCGAACGAATCCCAACCCACGCAGACGATGCCGACAATCCACCTTCCGATCGGACGGCACCACTCCTACCCTTTATAAATGCTACTACTCAGTAGTATCCCCAGAAGAAACGAGGCGAAGCACACAGCCCAGCCACGAAAAGAACCAAAAGCGTCGAAGCGATCAACCCATTCTCCATTCGCAGAACCCCAAGCTCCCCATATTTCTTCTACGGCGCAAATCCACAAAACCAACACCTGACTCGCGAAAAACTCTGGTGCCTGAACAAGCACAAGAAGAATGTCCAGCACAGATAAAAATAGAACAGCATACCCCCGATGCACGAGCCGCACAGCAAATCAGATGCTTTTTCCCCGCCCCTTCGGCGGTGCTACACTACCTTACCCAATAAGTCAATCCAGTAACTTAAGTGATTAGATCTAAGTCCGAGCTCTAACCCGGTTTTTAAACTGAAATCTTCGGCGATAAAGGTGTGCGGTCTACACCACACAGTATGGAAACCTAAACCCTAGACGACCTACGCTAACTACACAAGTAGAAAACTCCGCTCAAGTGGAGGTCCTGGTTGGAATCAGTCCACGCTCCAGATAAAAAAGTGGGGATCGGTACTGCAGCACTGCAGCAAAAGAGGCAGTGTTCGGAGATACTTGGTTTGGATACTTTTCCCACTGTGCCAAAGTGACAGGGATTCTCTCTCTGCCGCTATGTTTGCAATGCAGTTTGGCCCAGTGCGTTGGCCTACATCCATCCCCTTCCAAAGAAATCTGGGCAGTCATGAGCATGACACAATCTCTTTTTCCCCTCCCAAATTCTGCATGGAAATCTGATCAACCACGGCAACTATCACCGTACCGGTAGTTCCGACGGACTCTCCACCATAAAGGGCCGGCATACCCACCACTGGCAGCCCACAAGGAGAGGGTCTCGGCAAAAATGAAAAACAAACCATCGAAAACACGGACCGAAATCCAGAAAAAGAAAACAAAGAAGACTAGCCTATAGTAGCGACGAAGTATCCCCGAAAGTATCCTAGTTGAACCCTGCAGTAGGAGATTTAGGCTGTCATATTTCTCTGCCGTTTCTTTGCATTCTGCTGGAGGCTTGGAGCTACTACTTAACCTCTGGCTGTCCCCGCTTCGGAGCTAAGGGTGATTGACTGCCTCGATGGGACGGATTGCTGGACACCTGATCCAAGCACCGAGACTTCAAAAACAATTAATAAATGTCCCAATGATTGGATCCGCGACCCAGAGAAATTGATTCTATTTCGTGAGCCATCGCCTGGACTTCACGAACTGACTGGACTCCCAAATATGAAAGCCGTGTCCGTGTTCTTATACCTGCTATGCCTGGTATCTCCGCCCGTCGCGGCTGATTCGGATTCCAATACCAACTGTGAGTTTTGCGCCGGTCATCACTCCCTATACACTATGCTCTATCCTCTATCCTCTATCGTGATCGCATTATACATACACTCCATCAAGATCGAGTGCTCACAGGTAAAATGAAAAGGTACCTCCAGCACAACAATAACCTCGCAGGCCGATGCCGATAACCGTCTCTCCTCCTGCTCCACCATCCATGGCACCTTGACCATCTCCCCGTCCGTTACCGGCACCATCACCCTCAAACAGCTTGAGACGCTTAACGCAGGTCTAACCATTCAAAATACCTCCGCGCTGACGGCTTTCTCCGCGGCGAACCTCGAAACCCTCAACGGACAGTTTTCCATCAAGAATAATGCTCAGTTGAGCACCTTGACCTTTTCCAATTTGCAAACGGTCAGCGGAGAGCTGGATGTCGAGGAAAACTCCCAGCTCAGAGATTTGGTGTTGGATGATTTGCAGTATGTGAACGGAGCGTTGATCCTGAGTGGGAAATTTGATCAGTGAGTATCCCTCTTTTGTTTCCCCTGGTTTCCATCGCGTTCAAGATAGGTTAGACCATATATTGCAATCGGAACGGGGCTGACTCTCACAATGCAAAAGGATATCATTTAGCGATCTCAAGCATGTCAATGGCAAGACGAATATCCGGTCGCGCGGTGGATCATTTCGCTGCTCGAGTTTGGCTTCCCTCCGGAGTGAGGATGGTGACGACGATGACGATGACGACCACAACAATAACAGCAACAGCAATGGCGTGTTCAGGGGATCTTATAGCTGCTCCGACGGCTCCAGCAGCGGGCTAACTTCGGGAGCCAAAGCGGGCATTGCGATCGGCGTGATCGTGCTTGTTCTGCTGATTTTCCTCCTAGTGTGGGTATTGATGCGTCGGAACCGATCAAGGCGCAAACGACGTAACGCGGCCCAAGACGAGGGCAAATCTGGATACACGGCTGTTGGAGTAGGGTTGTCGCATGATCGCAGGATCTCAAATATGGAGGAGAAACTGAAACCTCGAGTGTCGGAACCGCATGAGCCTGAACAGACGATCAACCTGAATAACATCCCACGGAAACCACTCTCGCCGCCTCCACCATCGTTATCGACCGACGCACGTCGCACACTTTCAACAATCTCGCCGTCTTCTCCCCCGGTACCGGCTACTTTGATTCCCGGCACAGAAAGCTCGTCCAGCTCTGTTCCGACGTCTGATGACCAAAACGCATTGTTCCTGCATGCCATCCCCCGACGGAGGCCATCTGAAACGGACGTCCCGTTATTGGATAGTGGGAACGTGTATGAAGTACCGGCCAGTCCGGTCGCGCATAGAGGATTGTATGAGTTGGACGCTGGGCCTGTGCGAGGGACGCACCAGCAACCAATCAACCACGAGTAATCAACTCATTGTCGCGTATGACGGCGCGTCACGAAGCATGATTGACGAGACTTCCGGAAACTGCTGGTCAGCACGGCCCAACAAATATACCCTGAGATAGCGAACATAACAAACAGCAGTCTATCATCTAACTGTACAATTAGATTGCAATTGAGAAATCGTAGCCAGACCGACTTGGGGTAACCTGAAATGTCCCCAATCATGATAGTATACATCATGCATTAAACGCTTAGAACCAGATTCGTCCATTATGATTAGAACGACGGCCCCAATGTGGAGCCCGGGTTCGCTCGCACTGCCTGCAGTGTCTCGCCCGAGGCCAACGGCCCACACCATCCGTACGCGTCGCACCGGCATTGTTCGTATCGAGGACAACTAATTTTCAGGTCAGTCCCTCTGGGCCGCTGCAAACAAACCACTATCACGCCCGCGCGACCGTCACTCACTATATCTCATCCATGCCGAAGATGATGTGCCAGATCTTCTCGTATACCCATCCCACGCCAAAGCTGTCTGTCAATTCCGTCTCGTCGGCCCACCGCAACATGCGCTCGTAGTCCGATCGGGGTCGTTCGAGGATCCGCTGGCGGCTGACAGCGAATTGGCCACAGCAGACATTGCCAATGTGCTCCGGAACCTTCTTCGCAGGGACATTGAGAAGCGTCTGGTAGACCTGGGGAAAGAATGCGCGAATGTCATCGTTCTCGATATCGATCTGCGTGGGGCTCCACGGGTGGACGCTCGTCGGGCAGCCGGGGTCGTGCTCGCAGCGCAGATTGACATAACCTTGCGCGTCGACGGCCTCTAAGCGGAGGTTTCGCAGTGCCGGTCCAGTGTGGGGGCCGAAAAGGTCATTGTGCCATTGATCGTAGTTAGAGTGGATGAAGATCGTGTATTTCGGTAATTGGTTGTAGAACTCGACGATGAAGGAGAGATAGGCGGTAGCCTCGCGACCGCGGATGGTGTAAGGAACTAGGAGATTTGGCGCGGGTTCGACGTCGGTGCTGTAGATGAATGGGATTGTTCCGCTGCGGGAGGATTGCCGACGTCAGCCAAATGAACAGAAAGCACAATGAAGGAATTTTTCGTGATCCCGGGGGTGGCGCGCCATACTGGTCGTTGCAGTAATCCAAAAGCCAAGTTAAGTCCTCCGCCCGCGTCGCAGCCAATACTAAGCCAATCTCGCTGGTCGCATTGTTGTACGTCTTGGTGATTTCCGATAACTGCTCGTGAATCGGGTTGAAGTATTCTTCTACTGTGGTGGTTGATTTGCGTGCGGTTAACCTGGTGTCCCGGAGAAAGAGGCCGGGGCGGAGGTAGGTCCGAACGATGACATACCTGGTTGAGGGTCGTAAGAATCGCCGCCGCAGATGAGCCATGAGAGAACGGAGGTGACCAGCAGCGCCAAAATTCCGAGTGCGGCGGTGCGGCGGGCAGGCCAGCGAAATAGCCGCCTCTTCGACATTGAGAGGAAAGGGGAGGGGAGAGGGGGAGGGGATTCACCTCTCGCGAGGTTTGGAGGCGAGCGACGCAAGGACGGACAGGGACTCAAGAAGACAGAGAGATAGGAGAGGAGGGGAGAGGAGAGGAGGAAAGGGGAGCGGGAAGAAGAAGGGAGGAGAAGAGGAAGGAGGGAAAGGAAAGAACAGCCGACGGACGACCAGATGAATTGCCTTGTCTTGTTCAGGACAATCGAATTATAACTAAACTAATTGTTAACTGGAAGCCCTGAGGTAATGAAGTCAATGGCAGCGGGCATTTTGCAAGCCCACAGGACAAATCAAGACGAATAATATGAGAGCAGTGGGAGAGGCTCAGGCCGGACCTGGAAGTGCAGCAGTGCTAGACGGTGCTAGACTCATCAAGGGCACAAACAGCACTCCAAGCACCCTAAATCAGTCCCGAATCAGTACGCCATGGCCCTTTTCCACGTAAGGGGCATGGGACACTAAACTGCAACTGGTCAAAATCAGTCAGTCCCGGGCCACTCAATCGCCAGGATCTGGATTCCGGTGGGACTCGCCAAGTTCTCGCCCCATGGCTGGCCACTTCGGCACTATTCCGGCTTGGACCATAGGTAGTTAGCCCTCCTTATCATCTGCATGCGATTGTCTTCCCACTCCAGTCTGGAGGTCCAGCCTCCGCGAACGGGCGCATTGTGGGTGATAGCCCGACGGAGAGATAGTCCACTGCTATTTTGGTCCCCCTCGAATGACTTTCAATCAAGCTTACACAAGATCATCAGCCGGTTGAGGTGCCCGCCACTGTCTTCCAATTCTGCCCGCCAAGAACCCACTCGTCATGAGTGTACGTCACCCTGCGAAACCACCGACATGAATACTTGACGGGTCAATTGGCGACCACCCTGTTTTGTATGGCAATGCATGCCACATCTCGCATAGATTTGTCGGGATTCAGCACGGCGCACAGTATGATCGGCAGCATGCAGGCGATAATTCCCGCCGTCAATCTCCGCCGACGTACACAACACTATGTTTATCGGCTATCTCGTGCAAACCGTCCTCACATGCTGCTTTCGTCCACCGCCAGAGTCAACATTCCGCGCCACCCTGTTTGTTGACAGCGTACACGCGTCTTCCAGCAGCGACAACGTCTCTGCTCCTGAGGTGACGTGACGACTTTCGTCCAGGAAATTTTCTTGGGGACTCTATTGTAAATTTATGGATGGGTATGGAGTACGCCTCTGGTCCAAGCCCACTCGGGAGATTGACAGCTTACTGGTGGGGCAGATTAACTCAAAGCTTGGAGGGAATATCCTTGCTTGCATTCCGGACTACACTAGCCTCACCCAACCAAAAAGTCCATCATGGCTACACTCTTGAAATGGGCCATGAAGCCGTTTCGGAGGGCCCTGTGCCCTCCCATTCGTTTCCCCACCAGCGGCTTCGACACTGCCCCTCCATCGGAAGTGCTTGAAGAGGAACGGTTCGAGCGTTTCAGACAGGGACGATACTACCCTGCGAATATTGGCGAGGTACTAAATTCCAAGTATCACATAATCGGTAGATTGGGTTTTAGACTACCTCAACGGTATGGAGTAAGTTTGTGTGGTTCTGCCTCTGCGAACTATAAAGTTACGCTGACCCACCCACCCAACCAGAGGTCATCAATATGTGTCACTCGAGATCTACACACGTGACGGAGATAATCAGGAAGAATTCCAAATCTATAAACACCTGAATCGGGGCAGTTCATGGCACCCTGGCCATGCTCACATACGAAGAGCTCTGGATGTCTTCACAATTCCCCGTTTGGGCGGTGACCCCCCATGCCTTGTGCAGAAACCGATGGGGGAAAGTTTTCGAGACCTACTATGTCGTAACCCCACTCATTGATTCACTGAAGATCTACTCAAAGCCGGTATTTTGCAGATTTTTCAGGCACTTGACTACCTGCACACAGAATGCAAGCTTGTTCACACTGGTAATGCACTCTTACAGCCTTGCCAAAAATCATCGTTCTGACATATGTTCGAATAGACATAAAAGCGACAACATCCTCCACGAGATAGAAGACTTCATCCACTTGCAAAGCTTCTCTGACGATCGTCAATGCAGGCAAATGGAAGCAAGACATAGTGATCCCGACGGGTGTCAGTTTAGAGCAGTCGGAAGAGTTCCTTGAAGGAAGGAATAAGGAGATGTTCTTGGCTTTCATGAAGGGATATTCCAGTGGCGGTCTGAGGATAAGAAGACAGCGAAGGAACTACTCCAGGATCAGATAGAGTATCATGGCTACACCGCTCGTTTCAATCTGCAGGAGAGGATGGAATGTAGAGAGGTAGCTTCGACAGTCTATGCTCTAATTACTCTAGCAGCGGCACCTCTCAGCCCAGATACTCTATATCAGACCTACCAAGCGAGATACTTCCTCAGCACCTCTACTACCTCCATCGAATCATCCGGAGAACCCCGAAACACCGTCAGGATATGTTGGTCCGGACGGACCAACACCGCCCGGCCCTGCACCAGCTGCATCAGCTCCAACCACTTTTCGCCTGCCTCTCCAGGCTGAAGATCGAAATCCCTGCCCCTTGCAACTAAATCAATCCTCAGTCCCGGCGGAAACATTGCCGTGGCCTCCTCAAGCACGCCCCTCCAAGCAACGGCGCACTCCCCATCCACAAACAGCGTAAACGCATCGAAAGCGCACAGGTCCAACACCGAGAAGCGCTTACGCTCCACCTCCTCCATCGACAACTCCCCCACATACGACGAATCGATGGGCCCCATCAGCCCACTAACAACAGGCTTCGAAGGCTCAATCCACGCGTGGGGAATTCGCGCCCCGGGCACACATTTTGCCTGGTAGACGGAAGCGCAGCCGGGCACGCGGGTATCCCCGTACACATACCCGATGTGCAGACCCAAGTTATCGAAATGCTCGCGCTGGCCCTCGATGCCTTCGTGTACCGCGCCGGCGCGTTCGGGGTCGGCGAGGGTGCGGTAGAGGTTCTCGCGCGCGACGTGCACGTCCGGATCGGTTGCGCCCAGCGTCTTCAGCAGGCGGAAGATCTGTTGGCCGTTTTTGACGCTCTGGGCTGCGTTGATGAGCGCGACGGGGTGGCGCTCGGATTCGTAGGTGTCAAGGAGGGAGGGGCTGGCGTGGCCGTGGTGGATGGCGGCGATTTTAAAGGCGAGGTTGTGGACGTCGCCCAGGCCGCTGTTCAGGCCTAGACCGCCGGTTGGGGGGAAGGAGTGGGCAGCGTCGCCGGCTCTAGGATGAGTTTAGCTGGGTACTTTTGGGGATGAGCGGGTTTGGAGGTTACTGACAGGAGTACGCGGTTGATGCGATAGGATTTGGCTACCTTCCGGCTGAGGATCCAGGGTCGGTAGCTCAGCACGTCGTAGGGGATGTGCGTGCCTATGGCGGCGTCGACGGTCTTGCGGCACAGGGACTCGTTCCACGATTCCACTGGGTACTTTTGGGACTATATTTGTCAGGTTAGACTCTCTTGATCGCACGCACGAAGGGTATTCGGACGTACATCAAAATTGCAGATTAGCACCTGATTGCCCCCGAGGTCATACCCAATGATGAAGCCCGACACCTCAGGATCCATCACCCAGTGCAGCATGCCCACCCTGTCCTGAACGATCGGGTAGAGGTTAGCGTTGATATGGATAGTCATCATCGTCTCGTCTAATTCTCAAGCGTCAGTCAGGCCGTCACAGAGGGAAGCTTCACAAACAAGAGTCCTCTCCCTCACTCTCCACCCCCAGAAACCGCCGAACAGCGCTCTTTGCTCCATCACAAGCGACCAGGTGTTTGCACTTGACATGGTATTCTCGCTGTGCAGCGCGATCCTCAATGGTTGCGATGACAGAGTCCCCAAGCTTGTTAGGTTTCAGCATGTAGCCTTTCACGATCTAATCACAATCCGGAGGTAAGAGACAACTTACATCCTCAAGCTTGACGAATGAATGATTCTTGCGCATCTCCACCAAGGGGTTCTTCACCAGCTGCTTCCGCACGTAGTCTTCAAAGTCCGGCTGCGGGATATTGTGGATCATCTAGCCTCAGCAATTAGCTTGTTGAACTCCTCGAGCTTGTGCTTCTGAGGCCTAGCATACCGTAGGCGTATCATCCAACACCCCCGGATCCATCCGCTCATAGGGCAACCGTCCCACCTGCTGCCCATTCAGATGTGTCACGAAGTTCACCCAAAAAGCATCCTGGCGGCCGGTGCCCAGACGACGGATCTCGTTCACGTCGAGGCCGAACTGGCGACATAGCTCGAGTGTTCTTGGGGACAAAGCGTGGGCTTTTGGGGCGTCGAGTCGTGTTGGGTAGCGTTCGCAGAGCAGGGATTCGACTTTGTTGATAAGGTGTTAGTTTAATCTTTTGTTCTTCCTACAGATAACTGACTGTCGGGATAGAGAAAAGAAAGAAAAGAAAAAGTACCTCCCAACTGAGCAAGTAAGTATGCCTGGAGTAGACCGCATGGGCCGCCTCCGACGATCAGGACGGGGACGTCGTCGGCGATCTCGTAGTCCTGTCTTGCTGGTGACATGTTGGTGTTTTCGAGGACCTTGAGTGTGAGGTTGTGGGTGGGTGGGCTGCTTACCTTTATGTACAGGCTGGGGACAAGGACTCGGGAAAGCTTGCAGGTTGTTAGCCAGTAAGTGGTTTGTTGTTTGTCCAGCCTGATGCTTGTAAGTAGTCCTTCCCCACTTCAGGTGGGAAAATGATGTGCGGGCCGCGGGGAAATAGCAGTCGCTTCCCCACTTGCCCCGCAGTCATAGTCAGTTTGAGGATTTCTCAAGCGTAACTTGTATGCCAGTGGTCGAGACGAGTTCCAAGTATGGTGGTGATATTGTTGTGCATTGTTAGGTTGATGTTAGTTCTAAAGTGGTCGAAGGAGGAAGAGTCACATATCTCGAAGTATCAGTAGGCGCTCACTTAGCCGTGCATGCAGAATCCAGAATTGAAGATCTCAGATGCGCAAGAGTTTGATTGGCCATTTAGATGTAATACATCACTCATTATCATCAAACTTATGAGAGAATATTGCGAGAACGAGATACTTAAATGTGTTTCCTCATGCCGCGACAACGTCACCGAAAGCTTTCCCCCTCCCTCACCTCTCATTGCCGTCATGGGGTCCATTCTCTATCATTGGGGTCATCTCCATCGTTAGCATAGCCTTCTCCATCATCTCCATCCTCCTCATCATCATCACTGTCAATGGCGTCGTTTTTCATCATGCTGCGGCGTAGCTTTCACCAACTCTATGCTCAGATCACGGCAGAAAGAGGCAGTAGCATCAAGAACATCCTTCAAGGTCGACTTACGCCCTCCCTCGCCTTTGTGCGCTGGCAAGCGAAGCAGGTTCTTGAGGGCAACTGACACAACCGTGTCTTGCAGCACCTGGTCACTCTCATCAAAGCAAGTATACATTTCCTTGATTGCGCGCATCAGTGAGGCTCTGTCCATGTCAACGCTGAGTGCCCTCGCAATAGCATCTCTGCAGGCTCTCCTGAGACCATCGGCCTCGAGGCGCTTGGCCAGTGCATAGAGCCGAGTAAAGAAGTAGATAGCGACCAAGGATAAATCTCGACCAGGCGCAGGACTCTTCGACTGAGTGCCCATGTTCTTGCTTTGGGTGTCCATGCGGCTTTCGGTTGCCAGTTTGCGCTTCTTGAGCATTGTGTTGCTAGATGGCTGCTTGGCGTGGTACACGTAAGACACTCCCCAGTGTAAATATCTGACCACATATTCGACCACCCGGGGATCATCTTGAAGCACCAGGGTGTAGCTCTTCTGTCCGAGGCTATCAGCTGGAAAGATATGGGCTGTACACTAGCAGAACTCTCACCGTCTTACTGCCCGAACCGTACTCACGCTTGATGAAAGCGGAATTTGAACAAGCTTCCAGAAGGGAAACGGAATACGCATATTGGCCGCATTCTATGGTCAGTTCAGGCGGACCTTGCTGGATACTTGTGCTAACCCTTTATGAGAGGAGTGTTCACCAACTTTCAACAAGAGAAGACTTACGTTTTCGCCTTTTCCATGATCATGTTTCGGAGATTTGATAGAGAGACAGCGGCAGGGTTGATGGCTTTCTTTTTTGAAGGCACCTCTGCATGGCTAGATGTAGGTACCTTTCTTTTAGTCATCTTGGTGGACACCAAATTGGTGACCTCTCTCCGGAGTTCTCCTTGATTTGACAAGAGGGTTAGCTCAGGAAATGGAGAAGATGAGAAGAAACGGGAGGAGTCAGGAACAAGACTTTTGGTTGGATCTGTAAAGTGGCCTAAAGGGGCGAACTCACTTTGCTGTGTTACCAACTTTGATCTGACATTCATCTGGTAGCCTATGCTTCAAGCTCACAGTGACATGCGACCATCTGTGTAGTGCGCTACTTAAACTTAACTGCAACGAGGTCAATTCTCTTGCGTGTATGTAACGCATAGATTTCATCTGGGACATAAGGCGGCTATTTTTCCAAGACCCATAAAACGTGTAAGATGTTGCCCAGCCGGGGTCGGAGATTGGGTATTGTGTAAGAATATGTGAAGCCGAATCTCCTCGTAGTCTACCTACAGGCTTGAAAGTTACATAATCTCTGGGATTGTAGAGATCTTGATAGATTGAACTCTACTTTTGACTGAGCAGCTCAATGGCACTTGGGTGGTCATGAGCTAAAATCACTCCTATGCTCCTGCTCACAGCCCCGATACAATTTCTCCTCAAAATGTGTCTCCCATAGCACCACCCGCCTTGGGGCTGAGTGAAGTTCGACTCAAGCAAGACTTCTTTTCAACATTACCAACTACGTGCTTTCAGAGCGCCAAAACTTAGTGAGTGGAGAAGATTCCGGGAGACATCACTATTGTATGTCTTGCTGCTGACAGATTCACTGTCTTCACTTGTACAACACCACTATACCACCTGCCTTGCATTTGAGAGCTCAACTGGAACTTGATGTTGCCGTTGGGTTTACACCATATGCCACCACACCACATTTCCATGATCATATCATCCAACCTCTCTGAATCATCCAAACGAGCAGCATATTCAGCATTTGGACTACGCCGAAGTTCAGGGAATATTCCTCGCAAGACCTCAGTCTGGTAACCACCAAACAGCGTCTACTTCAACACTAGAGTACCATATGGTATTTTACCACCTCGTCATAGGGCTGTAAATACTAGCCAATACACATGTTTCAGTCAGTGGATGACAAATACACCACCGCGCCAAGCATGGAGCCTACAAAACGGACCCTTGCGCTTCTCATTGGCCACGCCACGACTTAAGGTGCAGACCGGTCACGGAATTTCTGATGGGCCGGGGCGCCCGGTGGGCTTATTTGCGCTTAGTGGGAGGGTGGTGGTGCGTCATGGGCTTCACTCCCTATAGTCGGGCTTATTATATGGAGCCTAGAACGTTTGCATGGAATGATCTAGCTTAGAGGATATAGGTAGTGTGGTTTGCGGAGAATGACGCAGGTCGCGGAAGAGATCTAACACCACATCGCAAAGAAGGATCCTACGCTGTACTGTACATACATTGGACAATTACAATCTTTTCCTCCCACAAAAGAGGGTAAGGCCATCACAAATACCGCAAGAGCAACTTCTCCCCCCTCCGCGCCCGCCACCGATTCGTACTAGCCAACAACTCGGCGCACCCGCGCACCACCCATGGCCATTTCCGCAGAAAGTCCTCGGTGATTTCCCAGTTGCCGGGGTCGGACGGCTCCCCCCACACCAGCAGACTGTACGTCTGCGTGGGCGAGTCCCAGAACCCCATGATATCCAGACACAGCTCCTCGTCGTCGAAGCGGTCGGCCATGGCGACGAGGTTGTCGCGCAGCCGCGGCAGGGGGAAGAAGTCCAGCCACGGGTGGTGCGGGACGGTCTGCTGGAGTTTCGTGGGGCGCAGGTGCAGCGGCAGCGCGGTCGGGTCGAGGGCGCTGTGTGGCTGCAGGGTCGTGAAGGGGGAGAGGGCGTCGTCGTGCATCCACTCGGCGCCAGTGCCCATGCCCAGGGTGGCCATGTTGGTGGCGAAGGCGCGGTAGACGTTCATGCGGCTGAGCGTCAGTAGGTGGTCGAGGGTCGGGGAGCCGTGGATGTAGGAGGCGTAGGCGACGCGGGTGAAGTCGGTGAGGAGGGTTTGGAGGTGTCGTTGCGTGGTCAGGTCGGTGCAGGGTTTGCGGTCGGGGCGCGGGCTGGTGGTCGTGCTCGTGCTGCTGCGGATTTGCGATTGGGGTGGTGGTCGTGTTGAGAAGGAGAAGGAGGATGTGGATGATGATGCAGATGTGGAAGGAGATGTGGAGGGACTCGTGATCGAGTTGGGGGAGGAGATCGATGGTGAGAGGACCGTGATCATCTGTTCGTCGCTGCTGCTCATGGGTTCCTCCGTTTTGACCGTTCTTCGTATTACCTGATTCGGTGGTTGAGTCTGGGTTTGCCGCGTTGCTTGTTTGCGTTTCCCTAGAGGAGTACTGTCAGTCATGAGATAGTGAGTTTACTTGATAAGTGAGCAGCTCACGGTAGGCCCGCTGGTTTAGACGATTCTGTCGTCGCCGTCGTTCTTTGCGATCTCCCATGCCGGCCCAGTCATCCTCAGGGTCCACCTCAGAACTGGCCGTAACAATCGAGATAGCAGCGCGAGTGCGCTCTTCCTTCACCAGATGCATTTCCGATTCCGATCCCATCCAGTTGGACAGGTATGAAGTAAGTATCCTCAACTGTGACGGTTTGATGGTAGGGTGTGGAAATCGAACCCGCGATAGTGCAACAATGCAATGGCTGATTTAAGGTTAGTGAAAGATAAGAAGTTCAGAAGAAGGAACCAGGATTGAAGTCTAACCCAGGCTGGATCCGCCCGGGGGTTTTATGGGAGGAGGAAACCGGAGCTAAATTTAACCCCGTTGGCTCTCCACCCCCCCGTTTCGTCCTGTCATTACCATCATTACCAGCCAGTCTCATTTCTTGTCATTATAATGAACTTGAGTAGTATATACAGCTTGCAACATCACGCCACGCCAATGAACCCAGTCAATTTATACACCTTTCCTCTCCTTTCCCCAAATCATCTCTTCCAGCACTGCTTTCTCCCCACTGTTCTGCACCAGATTTCGAAATACACCCCCTTCAATAGCCATCAGCTCCTGTGGTGTACCGAATTCGGCTGCCTTGCCCGCGTCCAGAACCAGGATTTTATCGAAATCAGCAACGGTGCTGAGGCGATGCGCAATGACTAGAAGAGATGTCGCATTTCGTCCGAATTCCTCCCGGATTGACCGTTGAATTAAGGCCTCGGTTTCCATATCTACGGCGGAAGTTGCCTCGTCCAGAACCATAATTTTAGGCTGGGAGACAATGGCTCGAGCAAGACAGAGAAGCTGTCTCTGCCCTTGGGAAAGGTTGAGACCACCCTCAGAGACCATCGATGAGAGTGAAGCAAAGAAGTTCACTGTCTTGAGAGGGCCTGTGGTCGAAGAGGCAGACGAGGATGGTAATGTGCTGCTGTCACTGAAGGGCTCGTGGCTGGAATGTGAGGCCAAAGTCAGGGTATCCTCGAACGAGACGAGGTGTACTCGCTCTAGCGCGTTGTAGAGCTCTATATCAGTGTGTTCGTGGAATGGATCTAAATTTGACCGCAAGGTGCCCGAAAAGAGCACGGGGTCCTGTGGAATGATAGCAAGACGGCTCCGCAGAGCCTGGAGCTTGATCTGTGAGATGTCTAGACCATCAACAAAAATTCGACCACGCCGAGCCTCTAAGAAGCGGAACAACGCCAAAGTTAGCGAGGATTTTCCAGCCCCGGTACGTCCTACTACCCCCAAGCGTTGGTTGTGCTCCAGGCTGAAGTTGAGCCCGCTAAGCACTGGAGGTAGATCGGGCGCATATCCCACCACCAGGTCTTCCACTTCTACTCTTCCACGAGTAGGCCAAGCGGCAGGTGGCTCTACACCACCTTGGTCTTCCATGTCGATACCAGAGTATTCCAACACGCGCTCTGTGGAGTTCATATCTGTCTCCACATTTGCGTAGAAGCGCAAGCCCATGGCCACGGCATAATTATACTGTAGCGCGAAGCTCATTGCAAAGCCCGCCAGAGCAGGCGTGATGTGGGGAATGTACACAACTAGCGCCGCTGTGATCGTTGACAGAAGGGCGCCTGCAATACTCATCCGGATACCAAGCCAGCGATCCAGGAGCCAAAGGTACCAAGCTGTCTGTGCGTGTCGGTCAATTCGAGCGTACATGTCTTTGATGTATACCTCTGTCTTGTGGAAGGCACGAATGGTTCCAAGTCCGACCAAGGTAGATCCAAAACGCTCCAAAACCGGGCTTTTTGAGGTGCTTTCCAATCGTTTGATCTCTCGCATGCCAACCAGATATATCCTCGACAGCTGAAAGCAAAGAGCCAGCAGAATACAAGCGAACACCAGGAGAAGAGGTGAGACTAACAGTCCGGCAGCGAGAATACCTACCAGCTCCAAGATTTTGTAAACAAGGTGGCCAATGTCGTATCCAAGCCTCCAGTCAAGGATGTTGATGTCAGATGTGAACCGGTTGAGAATGCGACCAATGGGCACGGTATCCAGCCACCGCAGGGGAGACCTGAGGACGGTATACAGTAGATCATTAAATAGTTGACGGGAGGATTCCAGCGAAGCGAATGCGAGAGCTAATGTGCGAATCGTGCCCACAATACATGCAGCGACAGAAAAGCCAATATACACGGTCAGATAGAACATCAAATCCTCGTCGGCTTCGAGTGTCCACACTTCGCTGTTGGTGTGGTCACGAACACGGGCAAGATTCGGTGCATCAGACGATGGGGTGGACGCATTTGTCCAGACGCTGACCCACCAGGACTAGTATTGTTAGCTAGCTATCAAGAACCAGGATTTTGTGAGTTATCAGAGATGTCCA